CTTTTGAATTAAGGTTCCCTCTGGATATGTGCTCAAGAGTGGGGATTGCTGGATCATATAGTAAGTCTATTTTCAGTTTTTTGTAGGAATCTCCATACTGTTTTCATGTCTCATTTTTTAAACCATACAAACACACACACACACACACATACATACACATCGTCTTTCTTTTAATCAGATACATACTTTATGACCTATATCTTGAAAAGTTCCTTCTTAGAATCAATGTTCCTTTGATCTCAAGATTGCTGCCATCCATTACTAATGTTTCCATTGTTAGTCAGTGGCCTAGCCTGTGGCAAAACTAGCCTCCTTAAAACCCACTAGTTCTTTAAATGCATGAGAACCTTTGCTTACAGAAAAAGAAGTAGATCTTACTATGTTAAGGGGAGAAAATATGAGGGAATTAAGTAAAATTTATTCACTGTCTTACAAACTGACAGATATTTATATATATGTTATATAATATTCCTATGAAGTAAAATATTACTTTTTCCAATTTGAAGATAAGACACAACCTCCAGCATGACTTTCTTAGATAAGCTGTTACTGAAGCATAGCCTGCCTACAGAAATATGAACCAATAAAAAGCGTATAACTCAATGAATTCTTACATGCACATTTAACCATCACCCATATCTAGGTTTAGAACATTACCAGCATCCCAGCATTCTCACTCTTGCCCCCTCATTGTCAATACAGAGGTCTGGCTTAGAAATCAAAGTTGTGAGACTGGAGGAAATCATTAAGGGAGTGGCCATGAAAGTGACAGAAAAAAACATTTGAGTGAAGAGCTTTGGGAGCCAGTTGATAGCAAAGGAGTCTTATGCACACAGTACTTTTGAGCATCGTGTTACACACAGAACGGGTTTTATTGGGCAAAATCTCATAAACCAAGAAGCAGCAGAGCACACGTGATAACCCTGAGCTCTCACCTCCACAGACAGGACTCCAGGGAAGGGTGCCACTCTATAATGCTCAGTGTATGTATAGGGCTAGGCGAGAATGTCTAGATTACTATGTAACACTGAAAGCTTCCTTCTCCAGAAAGTGACTCTCTCAGAAAGTCCACTCTGAAGCTCAGCAGCTGATGTCCACCAGATCTTCCATTGAGTCAATTCAGCCTCACTAAGCTACCAAAAGAGAAGAAATGAGCTATCTAGGTATCTCTCCTTGCCTAAAGAGGAATCAATACCAAGGAGTTGAGAGCAATCAGTTACTTCAAACACTGCTGACAGGTCAAGTAAGATGAAGACTAAGAATTGACCCTGGGATTTAGTTATGGGGAGTTCACTGATCACCTAGACAAAGCCAGTATGAATGGGGTGGTGGAGGAAATGTCTAAGTGGGATGAAATTAAGAGAGGTTGGAGAGGAGGAATTAGAAATAAGTGAGTATGAGGAGCTCTTCCAAAGAGCTTTGCTGTCAAAGGCAGAGAAAAAAATGGGATGAGAGCTAGAAGGGGAAGTGGGATCAAGAATAGATTTCTTCTTAATACAGAAATTATGACTATCTGTCTGCCCCCTTACAGGAATGATTTAGGAGAGAGCAAAACTTGATAGTAGGAGAGAAGAGAGACAGCAGTGTCCTGAGGGAGACGACATGGAATCTTGTGCACAAGAAACGAGTCTAGCTTTAGTAGGAGTGGGACAATTGCTCCATCGTGACTGGTGTACATGGACAGATGCTGGAAGGTGGGTAGATGTAGTGGCAGTGATGGCGGCAGGTAGGTCTGTGGAACCTCTCCTCTGATTACTTCAATTTTCTTAATGAACTTAGAAGCAAGGTCACCAGTTAAAAGTAAGAATGGAGAAGAGGTGTTGAGGGTTTGAGGGGAGATGGGTGGTGTGAAATAATCTTCTGAAATTATATACCCTTATATATAATTGTTAAGTCATTTTGCATGGACTCAGACTGGGAGGATAGTAGCATTTAATCATAAAATTAATCAGCTACCAACTTAAGCATTATTCACCCAGAAAAAATATGGGCATGACTGAACTCATTGCTGACAAAACCCAGATCCTTACAATCCCCTTCTATGATTTAACATCAAGATGTTGAGTTATAATCTGTTTGCTGAACTTATCTTTCATTACAACACTTCACCTTGGGGTTGAGAACTGTCAAGTAAATTTCCTTTCATATGCTTGCCATTTAGCTATTAGTTACTGTTTAACAAGAGCCATTATCAGTAGGGTGGCACCTCAAGGGACAGGGTGGGTACGTGTATTTCTGGCAGGAGAGGAGAGAAATTCCTCTTCAGCTTGTTTCTTCCGTTTCCTTTCTATAATTTTTTGTTTCAAGGTTTCTCTGCTTCGTTTTGGTGGTGGTGTATAAAAAGGAGACCATCCACGCAAACTGAGATAGCACAGTTTTTTTCCACAGGCACATTTGCCAAGTTAAAATCTGGATTACTTCCCCTCATGGGGAAAAGAACAGGAAATGACATTTTCAGGTCCAGTTTAGTGCATTCATTAAGAAAAGGAGCAAATTTTCTTTGTTCCTGAAAAACGTGGAAGCACCTTTCTTCCAGCTGCTTCTGTGGAAAAAACAGGACAGAAAGACTGAGCTTTATCAAGATATTTCATTTCGATCATTCAGTATGTTTTCAATAAGATGCTAGATTTGGTTTTTAAAGAAATAATAAACATGCGATGGTAAGTCCACTGGGCAAAAGCTTTGGCTTGAACTTGAAGTGGATGATAAAATAGGAATGTCAGATGGGGAGAGAAGACATGAGAAGAGTAATTTTATAAACAAAATTATGGGCTCAGTATTTTGGGGGACTCTCAGTGCTTTGACTAGTTAAATATTGACTTCGTTTTTCAATGTGCTATTGTCTATCAGATAAAAACAAGTGAGGGATGAGCAGGTTATTCAACAACATTCTATTATAGTCCAAAATACCAGAAAATCCATACAAGGCTTCATGTAGTACACAGATACAGGAAGAAATGAATAAAACTGAAGACAGTAACTCTGAGTAGGAAATTACAGGATTGTGCCACAGTGCCACCTGGCCTATACAGTAATACTGTGCTCACATGGCATCTATTTGCTAATGCAAACAGGAAATTGATTATATTTTACATAGAAATTGTGTATTTTCAAACAAGATAAATTTGAGATGCCAATCCTTCAGAGGGCAAACAATTTATATCACATTGCACAGAGATTTTCCATTTGGATCACTGAGCAGTTTTGAGGTGGCCACTTCTAGATCTAAATGTCTTTATCTCAGATATTATAACTTGCTAGCATTATCAGACTAGAAACTTTAGGATGAGTGCAGGTGAGGAAATAAATGTATCAGAGACCTATTACTCAAATACTATTGCTTAAATTACAATTTATAATAAGGAACACTAATTGAGATTTTGTAGGATATGACTTTTTTAAACCTTCAGGTGAATACAGTTGCATTTTTATGTATAGTTTACAGCTATTCACTTATTTTAAATTATGATGTCTTGGTTTTGAGATTTATTCATGGCTTTAAACTTAAATATACTCCCCAACGGGAGCACAGGACACCCATTCATCAAAGCTATAAACAACATTTTTCTCTTCTTGCCGTATATACTCTATTTTAAGGTAGAGGGAGGAACAGAAATTTAAGAACATTTCAGAAGACTTGGCAAACCTAGTCAGCATGTGCGGAGGCTTGTACCCTACACTGCGTATAATTGTTTTCAGACTATGTTTTGGTAGGAACTTATCCAGATTAGCTATAGAGTAAAGGAATGTCAGAGCAGGAAGGAACCCCACAGAGGGTCTAGGGCTGGGGCCAACCCACCCTGCTTGCTTTATGACTTCTCCTGGAGAAGTTAAGAGACTTGCCCAATGTTACATTAATGTGTAGCATGGCTCCTGTCTTCTATTGTGTAGGACATTTGGGAAGGATGTACTATGTATAAGTAAAAGTACAGACTTGGGGTTAGAGCAACTCATATGAAAGCTCCCTGCTAAACTGGCAGCTGGCTATGTAACTCTGAGCAAGTTACTCAATCTTTCTAAAACCCAGCTTCGGTATCTTAAACTAGAGACAATAAATGATGCAGCATATAGCATTGTAATGTGAATTATGTGAGATAATAAATTTAATAGGTTGTTGCCCATAAAAAATAATAAAAGAAAACAGGAAATCTAGAAATCCACTGTGCTCAGGTTTCTGATGATATTGTCATACACAGTGAAAATAATCTGCTCTAAATGGCTTAAAAATCAAATTTGAATGGAGTTTTACCAAAACATTCTTCAAGCTGTTCAAATTATATTCATGAATCTCTTGAGTTGCACAGGGTATTATGTTGAGCCTAGGGCACTTATGCACATAAAGTGCCTATATAAAACCAAGCTGCTCTGAAGGAGGCCTATGTAAGTAAGAAAGTAGATGATCTCATGCACCCATCTGCAGGGCAAATGAACATCTTATAGATACATTACAAACATGATTGAAAAATTTAAGTAAACCGGTTCTCATGATTTATCCCTTTTCATTAATTGAATCTGAATTTGGTGATATCAAAAATCAGATTTTGTGGGGAGGGTAGATCTCAGTGGTAGAGTGCATACCTAGCAGGCACGAGGCCCTGGGTTCAATCCCCAGGACCTCCATTTGAAAATTAAAAATAGACCTAATTACCCACCCCAACAAAAAAATAAATTTAAAAAGATAAATTTTTTTTTAAATCACATTTGACATCCTCGATAAAGGGGTTACCATTTCAACCAGAGACAAATGTAAGAAAAATCCTATATCATATTCTTATTCTTTAAAATTTGATGGACCCAGTGGTTTGATCTGCATGTAAGAACTCTGAACCTAAACATCAAACACATTTTTGCAAAGTATAGCCAATGATATGCCAATCAACAGTGACAACCAGTTGGTATTGTAGTAACTCTTTTTGGCTGAAGGGCAAATTGTACTTGGGTCAGAGAGAAAGCCAAGTCCCCGAAAATTTTCTCATAGCATTCTAAACAGCAATAGCTCCACTATTCAGATAAGGGGCCCCTTGCTCAAGGCCTCCTTGTAAGTAAATAATCTAAAACACATTCAGGCCCGCAATGACTCTTGTTGGAACAAGCTTTTAAGCAGTGCTTAAAAGGTCTTTAAAAATATGCTGAAAAGTTAAAAGAACTTTAATCTTTATTGCAAGCTGGGATTCGCTTACTTCAAATGCTGCATCATTTTAAGTTGCCTGAGAAGCAGAAGCCAAGATGGAATTAGATATTTGAAGGATTTGTTGGAGGAGAGACCTTGGAAGACATAGGGGTAGCGGAGCAGAACAGGCCAGGAGAGCGTCACACTGTGGTGCAGGTTTAGTGTTTGTGTAAAGAGAGAAGGGAGGAAGGATGATGGTGTAGGAAGAGCCTCAGACTACACATGCATTCATCAGTTTTAAGGGGGGCCCCAGAGCATAGACTGCCTTTTACAAGTCTGGTGTTGGGCAGAAATGACCCAGGGCAGTAGCCGGTCATGAGCTGGGAACAGCCTGAAGAAAGTGTGCCCTTGGCATGAACATTATGGCGGATCCAAAGGTCGGGCCACTGGACGTTGTCTGCCAATCACAGTACTTGCGCAAAGTCCTCTGGAAGGGAGATCTGAGCATTTCCCCGGCAGCTGCAGATGCCTTCCTAAAATACTACCCACAAGGGTTCTCCAACTGGATTCCTTAAAAAGACGAGAGTGTTAGTTTAGAATGATTGAAATAAGAATTCTATTCATTTTACTATATATAGTATTATACACAATGAAACGTAAGTAATAGGTGGGGTTCAGATATTAACTTCCACTAACTTCCCGTTTCTGTCCATAGGCAGTGGTAAAACCTTTGGCCTAGCATGACTTTTTCTTTTTTCAATTTTTTTAATCAAAAAAAGTTTTAATTTTTTAAAAATTGGCCCAGCATGGCTTAAACAATTGCTTCTGTTGTGGTAAGTGCAGGTTTCCTTATCTATTTTATGGTTCCGTTTTCTTTTATCTGAGTTTTGTGCAATTCTACGTTGAAATAGCTTTTCCATCAAATAATAGACCATATTACGAATGATATTACAAAATTATCAGTCTCAACTGCACAAAGTTCTTTCATGAACCCTGACTCTGTGCGCTTTCAACAGCTTAATGACTCTTGTTTATTTTACAAAGCTTAAGAAGCATTCTTCCTTCTTTGATAATCATCATCATGTGGGAATAAGGACTTCAAAGTTCTGCTGTTCTGAGCTGTCCTCTGCTGTTCTACCCAGGGGAGGTGGGGTGGTGGGGCAGTGGGGTGGGTTTCATGTCCCTGGCTTTGGGGAGGAAAAGCAGCTGCTGGGATTGAGTCTGAGAAGAAACAAACTATAGTCTATTACGCTTTCTTCTGTACAACACTGCTAAACCTCTCACCACAATGACCCAGAGAGTTTCCACCAATTTCATAACTTCTAAATCTAAACTGCACCAACACCATCCCCAGGCCTGATCAGGCCAGCCTCTTGTCTGGCAGATCTAGAATTTCTATTTTTAAAAGAATCATCTCAAGCTTCTAACTAAAACCTTTCATTTGGGTAGAAATTTTAGGATCGCAAAGCACTTCCTAGGCAGAGCATTCAAGCAGAAAAGCTATCACGTGTTCTTTGAAATCCACTAGGGAGCAAGAGTTTTTCCTTCGTAAATCCTGTGCCTGGATAAATTAACAAAGTATAGATTACCTCCTGAGCTGAAGTCTTTACTGTGAT